GTGCCATGGAAATAGCTGCTTTCCCCAGAACTGCTCTCACTCAGGTTTCTCTTCTGCATCCCCTCCTGTGGTTTTATTTCTTTGCTCCTATGGATTTTTAGGGAATTCCCTTGGAAACATCTTCCTCCCTTCCGAAACTGCCCATACAAGCTTCCCAGCCATGAGCCCCACCTCCAAGTGATGGCGATCTGCAATGCCTGCATGGGTTGGTGCAGACTTCTTGCCCTATGGCAGAGCAGCTGCCTTCCACACAAAGGCAGCACTGGGTTCCCTGCTGTATTTCAGGCCAGGGATAAAACTCCTCCGATACCCAGACATTTACAAGCACTGGTCTGCACTCAGAAGCCTCCCTGTGAGACACAACAAATGGGAGCTTGAGCATGACACAGAGCAGGCACTGCAACCACCCTGGGTATCCCACTCCCTGTGCTGGGAGCAGGGACCATGCCAACTTTGGCCTGAGCTGTGCTTCAGCTTCCAAAATACTGCTTAGGACCTTTTGCCTGTTGTTTCTTTTAATCCAAAACCAATCTTCTTTCAAATCCAATGTATATTGATACATTAAACATAGTATTAACCATGCCCTATATACAGTGTTCCTAAATTGTCACTGGAGAGCTCTAATTCCATCGCAGCATCTCAGCTGGAAGAGGACATGAAAAGCAGTGCCGTACATGGTAGGCTTGAATGGCAGTTACCTCCGTCTCTCTTTCTGGTAGTGTCGGAAGAGTTAAAGATGTATTTTCCACAGGAAGAGCAGACTAAAACAAACAGCAGTGACAGTAATTGCTCTGGTTTGGTTTATTTTTGTTGTCAGTGGTGGGGTTTTTATATGCCATCACTTTCATCAGCATTTAATTGCTGGCGCAGAGCCTCAGCTGCCAAATTACCTCTCATTGCGATGTGAAGGGCTGCTGTATTATTTGCCTCCTGAAGAAGCCGTGGCCTTGCAGAGTTAAGGCAGTGTTGTTTTTTGCTCAGCGCAGGTACTAAACTTCTCCATCTTGTGCTAAATATAAATAAAAGATCAGGTTATCCTTAAAACCACTGAGCATGCTGGTGAGAGAAACCTGCTGATGGCAGGGAGCCTGCCAGCCCCAGGGCCGGCAAGAAGAGATGCTGAAGTGGCACAGGAGAACCAGGCAGAGCTGGTTGTAGCTATGAAAGCCACCAGCTGAACTGGAAAACAAGCAGGAAGGATCCACCTACAGGGACAGCGGGCAAGGGGAGGGGTAAAGCTGTCCTGGTTTCTTCAAATAGAAATCATGGTAGAGAAGAGGTCTAGGTCAGAGTTCTGGCCACGGCTTGCTTCTGCTGTGGCTCACTGGATCTCTCACAGGCCTTTAACCAGAAGCTCTATGTGTACACTGTCTGTGCTTTTACCCCCCATACCTAAAGGGCTTTGTATAGTTGAGCACCCCTGCAGAAGGCTGGGACCAGGACTGGCAGCATGGGTAATGCAGGGAAGAGGTAGGACTGGCTGCATGGCCTCTCCTCATCTCTCATTTTAACAGGTTCAGATGTCTTTGAGTTTCATCTCCTTTCCATCTGCTTCAGGTTCATGACACTCCGGTGCTGCAATTTACCCAGAGCTTGTGGACAGATAAATTGCTAATAGGAATTTTATCCAAGTATATTTTCTGCTAGCCTGATTCAGCCTAGGGACTTGAACTATTGGGTTTTTGATGAACACACTAATAACCCACTGTTTACTTTTGAAATACAGTAATTACTTAGTTGTTCCTTTCTATCTAAATTGAGACTGAGCTGAGTTCACTCGATTTGTTGTGTCTGTGCAAGTTTGCAGTGCAGGGAGGAGGGAGCTGCCCTCTGCTCACCCAGCCTGAGGGTCTGGCCAACATCTGGCCTGCCTGTCCTCACTGCCCTCCTGTGGACGTGCAGCCACAAAGGGGAGGGTTTGATAAATGCTTCATTATCTGCAGGACATGAAGTGGTGGGTCAAGACATTAGTAGGGTCCACACAACTTCCATGTGCCCCTGGATCAGTTCACATCCCATGTCTCTAGTTCTGGAGCAGGAACCTTCAAGATCTAGCCCCTGGCTTCAGATTGACCATCTCATTTTCTACTTTCTTTCCACTTTTTCTGGGTGTACTGAACTTGCTAGTGACACTGGGAGATGCAACACACAGATGATCTAAAACATTGTGTCTGGTCTGAGAAGGAAAAAATAGTAATAGGTGCTATTATCTAACTGTTGCAATGTTTTAGCAAGTGCAGAGTGCCAAACCCTGTGCCAAGCCCCCGTCCGCACCCAGTGAAGATGTGAAGCTGAACCCCAGCAAACTGACTGGTTGCCCATGGGATGGAAATACTTCAATACTTGGCTTTGAAAGTGTGCAGATGTTAGCGTTTAACTGGGGAAGATGAGCAGTATCTGCCATAACCAACAGAGCACCTGTAGGTGAGTCAAATGTGACATTTTGTCCATGCTTCACAACTGTGTGAGAAAGCAATCATGGTGAGCACCGTCCACCTCTCGTGCAGGAGAACCACACAAACCCAGCAGAGGCCATTTCCTACATACACTGTTGAGACAGGGCTTACAGCAGCTGCACCCAGTGCAATGGGCCTTCTGCCAAGAACTGAATCTCAAGCCTTTAGGGTTAAATGTGGGTTATCACAACACCATCCATCTAACATGCCTATTTTGCATGTGAACACAGTGCATGTTTGCCAATGTTTGAGCACTATGTGGGCTGACTGTGGGGAGACCCAAGAGAGAAACGAGATTTGGGAGTTACGGCAGTTTTATACCAGGTTCTTTAAAGTATGAGTAGCACTTGCCTGAAATGTTACTTCCTTGTACAAAATAAGCAGAATTCAAAATCAAAGAACATTGCAATAATATTTTTGGGCAACTCTGGGGAGACCTTAGAGCAGCTTCCAGTACCTAAAGGGGATCTACAGGAAAGTTGGAGAGGGACTTTTTATAAGGACATGTAATGATAGGACAAGGGGGAATGGCTTTAAACTGAAGGAGGACAGATTTCAGTTAGATACTATGAAGAAGTTCTTCACTCTGAGGAGGATGAGGCGCTGGCACAGGTTGTTCAGAGAAGCTGTGGCTGCCCCATCCCTGTCAGTGCTCAAGGCCAGGTTGAACAGGGCTTGGAGCAACCTGGTCTAGTGGAAGGTGTCCCTGCCTGTGGCAGGGGGTTGGAACTAGATGAGCTTTAAGGTCCTTTCCAACCCAAACCACTCTGTGATTCTATGATTTTATGAACTTCATAGCTATAAAGGTATCTTGGTAAAAACTGGATCCTAAATGAATACCATTCAAAGGTAGATAAATAGGCAAAGATAGACAAATAGGCTGTCATTTTCTGTTTTAAAATAATGTAGCATCCAATGATACGAATAATCAGTCAAAATAAATGCCTATAAGACTGAAAATGCAGAGATAGTGTCCCATGTGAACTATGTCCTCTCCATTCCTAGTCACAGATAGATCACATCCATAGTAAGTTTCATTAAATTCCAGCTACACCATCTGTCCTGCCCTCTGCCTGCCGGAGCTTTGCCATAGCTCCTCTTCCAGTCTGCTCTGGGAACGGAATACATCCAGACTGGGCAGGAGGGCTTTTGGTAGTTGACCTGTTGGTCTTCCGGTCCCCAGCATGGGTGAGAATGTTCAAGGCAAGTTGCTTTGATTCTGCTGCTTTGCTTCATGGCTGAGGCATGGCCAGGATTTGGGATCTGGGTGTAGAGGGCAGAAGAGGAGGAGTTTGGCGGCCTCTTAACTACTGGGACAAGTTGAGAAAGATGTGTTTTTCTTGTGTATACAGTTATAAATTCTGATTTACTCTATGAACTTACTTCTAACCTTAACCATCAGTATAAATCAGAACTTTCCTGTTGTGTTTAAAAAGCAAGTTGTATCTACATCCTTGGAAGGCAAAGCGCAATGCCAGCATTGGCACGCAGACAGGTTAAACCACTTTGGTGCACCTGAACTTCTGAGCTGGAGCTGGACCACATCCCACCTCTTTAAAGGGAGAATAGGAGGTAGCCACATGACTTTCCCCACTAGACCACATAAAACTACCCCCAAACACAGTGTGTGGAGCAAGAGGAGCTGTTCTGGAAGTGGTAGCCAGGTGGCAAGCAAAACCTACAGCTATGGCACAACAATGGGATCGGTGGGGATGACTGGAAGTCAGGGAAGTTTGAAGGATCTTTAGTGCCAGCATCCAGAAGGTCTTCAACACCTGTATCTGATAGGCAAGAGGGAGATGAATGACTATGGCTTTGATGTGCAGCATTGATCCCTCCTGGCAGATCTC